CACCACACCTGGCAATTTTTGTATTTTAGTAGAGATGGGTTTTCACCATGATAGGCCAGGTTTGGTCTCAAACTCCTATCTCAAGTGATCTGCCTGCCTTGGCCTCCCAAAGTGCTGGATTACAGATGTGAGACCACCGCGCCTGGGCCTCTGTCAGTGATTAAAATGTCCATTCTATGTAGAAGCAAAATTCAAGATTTAAAAGTTCTCTGTAACAAAGACTGACAACTGTCCACCAAAATCCATTTTCCCTTATAATAAAAGTTCTAATCGCATGGCTGGCCAGCGGACTCCATTTCCCAGTCTCCCTTGCAGTTAGAAGTGGCCATGTGACTGAGGTCTAACTAATGGAATGTGAACAGAGGGATAGGTTTCATTTCCAGGCCTATCCCTGAAACACTTCCCATGTGTGCTTCTTCATATTATCTCCTCTTTCTGGTTGGCTGAGATGGGAGTGATCCACATCTGTCTACAATTTGCCACTGAAGTGTTTCTGTTTCTCAGTAGCACCTGCCTGTGATGGCTGTGTATTGATAAGTCCTCAACGTAGCCTGCATGTGGGAGCTATCTGTTAAAGATCATCAGCCTGGTACCCTAACTGTGTGGATGAAGCAAAGCCCACTCACTGCCTTCCCTACTACCCTAAACTGGCACTTTCCTGTACTGTTACATGAGCAAGAAACAGACTTGTACTGGGTTGAGTCACTGCATGTTTGGGACTGTTTGTTACTACAGCTTCTCACACTCTAACTGATACGTTCTCCAGCTGTGGTCTGTGTCAGGTTAAAAGCCTGCATTGGGAAAAGGAGGCATAATGAGCTCTCTACTATCCTCCTTGGTACCTCCTCATCCCATCCTTAATCCTATTGACTTACTAACTGCAGTTTCTGAACTCTGTAGGGTGGGTTGGAGCATAGAAGCGGGAGAGGCAGGAAAGAGCTTACTTGGCTGGGACTGTCATGATCTTGCTGTTTTGGTGCCCTCATTGTTTTGGTAGGCATTCAAAGTTGACCCTTTTTCCTGTGGGTTGCTTTTGTGGGGTATGCTAGATATCTTTATTTGTCTCTCCAGAGCCAACCTCTCATCCTCCTTCACCCTGCTTTGTTTCTGGGGCTGGCGCATGTAGAATGTATCAAAGGGCTCCCTTACCTTTCAGGGTCTGCTTGAGTTTGGTGAGTGGGAGTCCCAGGCAAGAGTCTGGAGAGAATCAGGGGAGAGATGCTGGGGTAGTTATTCCTCTGGTTCCCTCCCTGTGGGGTCGACATTGTCTGGCTGCATCTCTCCATTGAAGGTTGCAGCTCCCAGCAGGTTCTCTGCAGACAGCCCCCTGGACCTGGGCTCCCAGTTCTGCCCTATTAGGATGCTAAGGCTGTTATTAGCTTCAGAACACTGCACTATTCCCCCAAGGTCTTCTGTCCCACTCACAGCTTCATACATAATCTTTTTATTAATCTCTCCCTGAACAATCTAATTTGAGTGCCATCTATTCTGCTATGCCCCTAATACAGTGGGTTTTTTGAGATGCCCTCACCTGAAACATCCAACAGTGTGCACTTCTGGTGATGTGGGTGATGCATCTGCTATGCTGCAGCTTATAATTTGTCCCTCAGCTCCTGAGCATTCTGTGATCTGTCCTTTCCAATTGCTTCAGAGAAATGGGGGCTCAGAGATGTTCTGTGACTTGCCCAGGGCCCCAGAGTTAGTGGGTGGTTGAGCTGGTGCTCTTCTCCCTGCCTTGTGCCATCTGCATTACCAATCACTTTCCCAAAAACAGTTCTGCCAGGCTGTACTCCCACCAGCTAAAAAGTGAAATAATCCTATTTTTCAGCCTGACTCGAGTGCTACATGGATAAAAGAGTGAGTTGATGGAGCTGGCCTTGGGCAAGCTCATTCTTCTGGCATGTGGACAAATGCCTGACAAGATGATTATATCAGGAAGTTACAGGAAGGAGATGGAACAAGCAATTTAGGCCTGGATTCTGCTGTGCTCTCGCCAAATGAGATAGCCAGGGACTCAGTGAGAGGAGGTGCCAGAAAGGCGCCCTCCGAGCAGGTAGGTGTGGCCAACTGGCCATGTTTGCAAACACTTCAACTTGAGAGGAGGCTGCATCTGCCACCACCACCTCCTCCCCAGCCCTAAAAACATTGTATACTACTTGGGCATCTCTTGGCAAAGGCAGCATTGACTCACAGCAGAGGCAATGTGGGATGTGGCCATTGCTCTCTTGCCTAACGCCCCCCAGAAAGCAAAGCTCTTGCCAGCCCCTCAGCCTGGGTTTTCCCCAAAGCAAATCCAAGTGGATCCAACTGAGGCAATTGCAGGCATCAGGAGTTGCTCCCCCGGGGGCCTTCTTTGACCCCACCCATGGACTGGGTACTGCTCCTAGATGATTTCATGAGGCCCTGTTCTTATAACCTCTCTTATTTCTTTTATTTATTTACTTATTTTGTGAGATAGGATCTTACTATGTTGCCTAGGCTGGAGTGCAGTGGTAAAATCACAGCTCACTGCAGCCTCAACCTCCCAGGGTTCAGGTGATCCTCCAGCCACAGCCTTCCGAGTAGGTGGCACTACAGACATGCACCACCTTGCCCAGCTAATTTTTTTGTGCTTTTTGTAGAGCTGGGGTTTCGCCATGTTGGCCAGGCTGCTCTCAAACTCCTGGGCTCAAGTGATCCGCTCACCTTGGCCCCACAAAGTGTTGGGATTACTGGTGTGAGCCACTGAGCCCGGCCATCCTTTATTATTTCAACAAATGTTTATTGAACACCGACTACTGTTGACCTTTCATATCTGTGGATTCTGCATTTGCAGATTCAACCAACCTTGGATTTAAAATATTTGGAAAAAATACAAATAAAAAATATAGTATAACAACTATTTACATAGCATTTACATAGTATTAGGCATAATAAATAATCTAAAGATGATTTAAAGTGTAAGGGAGGATGTGCATAGGTATGCAAATATTACATCATTTTTTATGAGGGACTTGTGCATCCTTGGATTTTGGCATCTGTAGGGGATCCTGGAACCCATCCCTCTGGATACTGAACGGTGACTGTATGTGCCTAGGCCTATGTTAGAGCCTCGTTCTAAAATTTAGATTATCTTGTAAGTAACCCTTGTTACCACTGTTTTGTAATTATTTCTTTACCCCAGAAGACACCAGGTAAATCACTGGCTTTAAAAATTTAAATATTCTTATTTTTAGCTTGGCTAGAATGCTGTGTGAATTTTGGGAGGCTATGTCTTTTTGTTATTTTAAAAATATTTTATTAAAAAATCTTGGTAGCCTAGTGCCTTGTGCGTTACCTATAAACAGAAGATACTCCATCCATGTTTACTAAGTTAATGAATGGATGTGGCATTTGGTATCCGCTATTGAATAAGCTGGGGCTTGGGGATTCCTTGGCAGTTTTTTTTTTTTTCTTTCTGTCAGGGGAGGAAAGCAAGTCTGTCAAGTGCTGCTCAGCGAGATATCCGGAGTGTCCAAACCTCTCTCCTTTGTGCTTCTTGCAGCTCCTGTACCTCTTTCCCTGGGGCGGCCAGTACGAATGCATGAGGCACGTGTGGGGACTCTGCTTCTGAGTTCGGATACTGGGGGCCATCACCATTATCTCTGAATGTTCCAGATGAGAACACTGAGATCCAGAGCTGCCGCCCCTCAAGGCCTCTAGGCAGAGAGGTGGAGTGGAGGCTAAGTCCATTACCCTTCAGCCACCCAGCACTGCTATGCCAATGCGTTTACCATTTCAGTGCCTCCTCACTGGTCTAAGTGACAGACGCTGACATTCACACATTGTCAGCCAGGGTGGGTGGCACCGTGCCATGGATGGCACCAAATTGGGTGTTGAGGCAGTACTGCTGTGTCCCTTCCCCCCGGCCCTCCCAGCTCATTGGCCCCAGTTGTGCATGTAGCAGGGCCTCAGTAAATAGGTATGGGAATGAGCAGAGTAATCTGCCTCAGGAATCTTAGAAAAACACGGAAACAACCTTACCAACAGTACTTGGTCTAACACATCATAGCCCTCTAAGTGGTTTCACTGTTATCTTGTTTCATGTACCTGCTGTCGTTTGAAATTGTTTCAGGGTATAAGCAAATAATTAAAATATCAATTAAGCCACGTTCTGAAATACATCAGGCTATGTGTGAGCATGAATTAGGAAAAAGTCAAATGACAATTCATCAATCTAGGACTCATTCCCCAGGTACAATCCACAACCCACCTCCCCTGCATCCCAGTTTTGCTCCAGGTATGTTACAGTCCTCACTGCACTGTGCCTTACTAATTGTTCGTCATGTTGCTCTCTTGTCTCCTCCCTCGGGAATTCTTCCTCCTTTTTCTGTATGTAAAAGAAAATCTTCCTTAATCTTCAAAGCTCTGGGCCTGGAGCTCCAATTTTGTTTGTGTTTTTGTAACACCTTTTCCCCCCATCCGTTCTTGCAGACTTTGCTATTGCCTTCGATGCTGCCGCAGGCCTGCACTGTATCACTCCTTACATTGTATTGTAATGATTCCCTTCCCTTCCCTTCCCTTCCTTTCCCCTCCCTTCCCTTCCTTTCCCTTCCCTTCCCCTCCCCTCCCCTTCCCTTCCCTTCCCTTCCCTTCCTTTCCCCTCCCTTCCTTTCCCTTCCCTTCCCTTCCCTTCCCTTCCCTTCCCTTTTCATTTTTGAGACAGAGTCTCACTCTGTTGCCCAAGCTGGAGTGTAGTGGTGCAATCTTGGCACACTGCAACCTCCGCCTCCTGGGTTCCAGTGATTCTCCTTCCGCAGCCTGCCAAGTAGCTGGGATTACAGGCATCCACCACTATGCCCGGCTAATTTTTTATTTTTAGTGGAGATGGGGTTTTGCCCTGTTGGCCAGGTTGGTCTCAAACTCCTGACCTCAAGTGATCCGCCCACCTTGGCCTCCCAAAGTGCTGGAATTACAGGCCTGAGCCACTATGCTCTGCCTGTAATGACTAATTTTGTTCTATCACATCAGACTGATCACCTTGAGGGTAGGGCTATTTTATTACCTCTAGTGCCTGGGACCCTGTAGGCATTGAATGCATATCTGTTAGATGAAAAAAGGGATGTTCCTGGGGCACTTGGTGGCCTGGTCAAGTCCTTGGCTGATTGGCATTTGTTAACCTTGCTGTTCCCCTCATCCCTCAGCCCAGTGCCCAACAGAGCAGGCTTCCTGGTGGTAAGGCCCAGCACTGGGAGTATAGCCCTGTTTCTGCACAAAGCTGCTTGCCAGGTAAAGAATAAATCTCAAATGTTACAACCTGTGTGCTTTATTTTTTAATCATTAAAAAAGCCCCAAGACTATAAAACAGAAAACCCCCACAAACGCCACAAAAATCCATTCTCTTGGCAAACAATATCCCCAGCAAGGATTATGGAACATTTGGCTTCTCTGAATGCACCTGGCAGTGTATTCTATATTGCATTCTCCAAAAAACAATTACCTCTGCAGACAGTAGATAAGACACGTGAGAGTGTGTGTGTGTGGGACTGTGTGTGTGTGTGCGTGCGCGCGCGCATGTGTAAGTGCACACACATGCACTGAGGACATGGTGTGGTTGAAAGGGTATGGATTTCAAAAGGCAGGCAGACCGAGGTTCAAGTCCAGCTGGACTGTCACCAACAGTATGACCTAAGGCATCTGTAAAATGGGACTAACAAGACCTATATTGGGAGGTTGTGTGAGGATCCAAAGGGAGGCACAGCACCACCAGAGTTCCTGACACTCAAATGCTCTCCCCAAAGGGCAGAGTGAAGGCTGAGGATGCCCTTCAGTTTCTGGAAAGTTTTGTCTCCCGGAGCCTTATATGCATGATCCTTGTCCTATTTTTTGTGGAATTTGACAGTACTGCCTGTTGTTCTTTATTTTTTTCTCTTTTCTCTCTGTTCCCCCCCACCCCACTTTTTTTTTTTTTTGAGATGGAGTCTCACTCTTTTGACCAGGCTGGAATGCAGTGGCACGATCTCGGCTCACTGCAACCTCCACCTCCCAGGTTCAAGCGATTCTTGTGCCTTAGCCTCCTGAGTAGCTGGGATTATAGGTGTGCACCACCATGCCTGGCTAATTTTTGTATTTTTTAGTAGAGATGGGGTTTCATCATGTCGGCCAGGCTGGCCCACCTTGGCCTCCCAAAGTTCTGGGATTACAGGGCTGAACCATCGTGCCTGGCCATTGTTCTTTGTTGTTATTGTTCCTAATGAGACTGGAACCACCTCAAGGGTGGGGCCATGTCCAGTACTTCTTTCTGTCTTGCAGAGGAGAAGTTCACCAGATGGATTGGCCAGATGGGTCCTGGATCCATTGGGAAGATGCCTGGGAAAATCTGAATTTTCTTGTGGGACTTCTTTGCTTCTAGTTCTCCACCACCAGGCTGGGAGAGGGTCCTGACACCAAAAGTTCATTTCAGAATCTGCCTTTCAGCCCTTCCTCCTGGTCAAAGGTGTGAGTATGGCTGGCATGATGGGATGGAAAGAACACGGGCTTCTCAATCCCCAATCTAGCACTAGTAAGCTATGGGAGTTGCAATCCTCTCAGACCTCCATTTCCTACATAAAAGTGGGAACAGTGGGACTGCTTCTAGGGCTCAGTGACAGGGCACGGCACCATCTAGCACATTAAAGTGCTCAGTTTTTCTTGCCAATGCCGTAAGGAGATTTAAAATATAAATGCATTCCCGGACTCCAGTGTTGCCCCCTTTAATAGAAACTATTGGAGGTTGGGTTCTGAGAATGTGAATTTTTGAGGCACTCCCAGTGAGACTCTGAGAAGCAGCTATGTTTGGGAATGACAGCTTTTCCATTCTTCAATTCCAGATGCTATTCATGATGAGATGCACTACCAATAACACCTCAGGAAAAAAATGTGTCAATTACCCGTTAAATTTATACATTTCAACCTCAGGCACATTAAAAATTGCACCCCTGGACTGTGCATTGTCTCAGCTGTGGTCACAGGACTGAAGGAGAAATCCATGTGGTGTGAGGCAATAACCATGACTGTGATTAGACGGCAGCCTCGATGATCACCTGGTATACACCATGCTGGGAGGCCACTGAGACTGCTCTGCATCATCTCCCAGGCCTGGGATGCGGAGTGTCGGAGAATCAGTCCCGTGTCTCTCTTCTCCAGCATCTCTCAGCTGGATGCACAGGGCTGGCTGTCTTTGTGGTTCAGACTTTCAGGAGTCAAGCCAAATTGAGTCAGAGCATGCTCCTCAGTGTCTGCCCCACCACTGAGAGGGGTCAGCCTTCAGCTGGGATCTGGCAGACCAGTCTGCACTGCGGGGCTTTCTCGTTGCTGTTGGAGCTTCTTTGCTCCTCGCAGAGTTGGGAAGGGTGGGAGGGCCTCTGTCAGAGTTCTCTGGCCCTTTCTCCATGTTGGCTCAGTCCCTGGGGCTGTGCTTCTGCCTTGATTTCCCTCCTTGGTTCATTGTATTTGTCAGGATTCAGGCAGGAAAACACAAACCAGGCGTGGTGTATCCAACAGAGGAATTTAACACTGGCTATAGAATGTGTAGATGTTGGAAGGCTGGGATGGCAAGAGGGAGACCGAGAGGTGGCCCAGGGCTTATGACCTGTAGGAAGCTGCTGCCCCAGCTGGGGAAGCAAAAAGAAGGAGGGTTATCATTAGGATCTGGGATGCAGAGGAGGAGCAGTGCTGTGGAGGAGGGACTGCTGCAGCTAGAGCTGAGATGATGGAAATGGCACAGCTGCTTGAGAGACATCACCTGGAGAAGAAGGAACGAGAGAAAGAGTGAGAGGAATAGAAGATCAGCACGACTCTCCCAGCATCTCTTATTGAGAGAGCTTGTGAAGAAGTCAGCTGGCAAAGGAGCCAAGTGTGACCGAGCCGTGTGCAGAGAGTGTGCTGGGCCTGGGAGGCAATAGACAAACAATAAGTACATTCAGGCAGTCAGCACATATTTACTAAGTACCTTTTCTTTTGAGATTGAGTCTCACCCTGTTGCCAGGCTGGAGTGCAGTGGTGCAATCTCAGCTCACTGCAACCTCCACTCCTCAGGTTCAAGTGATTCTCCTGCCTCAACTTCCTGAGCAGTTGGGACTACAGGCACACGCCACCATGCCCAGCTAATTTTTGTATTTTTACTGGAGACGGCATTTCACCATGTTGGTCAGGATGGTCTTGATCGCTTGACATTGTGATCTGCCTGCCTCGGCCTTCCAAGGTGTTGGGATTGTGGGCGTGAATCACTGTACCCGGCCTACTAAGTACCTTTTAAATGCCAGACACTGTTGTGATGCTGGGGAGTGAGCAGGGAACAAAATAGAAAATTCCCTGCCATCTAGGAGCCAGCATCTTAGTTGGGGAGACAGTCAGCAAACATATAAAAAAAGTAAAATATGTAATCTCTTAAATGGCAGTAAGAGCTACAGAGAAAAATGAACGCAGGAAGTGGGCAGTGAGTGGTAGGAGTAGGTGGGTGGGCAGGAAAGGTCTCAGTAAGAACAGTTTAAGCAAAGACCTGGATGAAGCCAGGCAATGAGACCTGAGGTGTTCGGGAAAGAGCATAGCAGGCAGAGATACAGCAAGGGCAAAGGCCTTGAGGCCTGCCTTGGACAAGGAAAAATAAAGAGGCCCGAGCAGAGTGTGCAAGGGGAGAAGCAATAGGAGATGAGGGCAGGGGGATACAGCTGAGCAGTTTGGGCTCCAGAAATACAAAAAAAAGGGGGACTCCTTAGGATAGGTGGGCTACCTAAAAAATCTTTATGTAGGTTTTTGTTAGGCCCTGGGCTCCCTCTGACTGATGACCTGGGTGACTTGTACTGACATCCCCTTCCTCCTCTTGTAGGACCATAGAGCGGTGAGAGGGTGGGGCTGGAGGACAGACCCTGCAGGGCCATCATGATGGCTTCAGCTTTGATGCTAAGTGAAATGGAAAACCTTCTGCCCTGCTCAGTGCCCGCTATCTCCTCCCCACACCCCAAGTCAGGAGTAGAGCTCTCTGCCTTGACCCCCAGCTCAATTACTGGAATTCTCCTTCCCCTGATTCCAGCAGACACAGATTCTCAACTAGGCTACAGGCTTCCCCAGAACAAAACCCCTGCCTATTTACATATCACTGCATGTCTGACTGGGGCTTGGCACCCAGTAGGGGCTTAGTAAATACCCGGTGAATGAATGAGCAGTTAAGCAGATCCTCAGATCTCACATTGGTCACCAGCTTTGTGACTCAGCTGCTCAGTCAAAGTCTATGTCAGTTGGGTGCACAAAATCAGTCCATTAGTTAGTTGGAATCAGCCAAATAATAAAGCTGTTGCTTGACTGAATTTCTAAACTGGCCACATGAAACCTGTGTGGTTACAGTCTCAGTCTCTATGAGAACTTTGGGGCTGCAGCGTTACTGCACAGGTGTGTCCACCCCACTGCTTTCTGGTAATGATGGAGGTTTTTCCCGCCATTTATTAGTGATGAAGGGTTTGTTGGAAATAATTGTATTTTTAGCAGCACAGTTAATGAACTAGCTAAGCATCAATAGATGAAATCATAAAACCATTAAACACCAAGAGCAATAATGGGAAACTGCGTCTGGTGGTAATGAAATTAAGTATCTTTATGAGGTCACTTTATTACTTTTCTCCTCGGCTCTCTTGCCCTCCCAAGTACGTGGTGACTGCTGCTCCTAATTGCTGTTTCACTGAAATGCACAATGCTCTCCATTTGGCGTTTTAAGTTCAGTGTATTTCTAGGGCCTTCAGGATCATTAAACCCTCCACCAAGAGAGTGCAATAGAAGTTGCAGTTATGAGAGTTTCTGGAAGTGGCCCAGTAGTACAGAAGAATGAGGATAGCAGAAAGGGTTGAGAAGGAGTTAAGAAAGACCTGCTGGACTTTACTGAGCCCACACTGTTGAGTCACGTGGTCAAGGTTGAGCCTATGCAACTTTGGCACAGCCTCCAAAGCCAGGGCAAAGTCACTCACAGAGGGACTGGGTGGCTATGGTTATACCTGTGCTTGAACCATGCTTTTCAGCTTGGGAGCAAGCTCATGTGCATGATTTCCTTTGACCCTGTGACAATCCCATATGATACGTTTTTATTCTCACTTTTCAGATGAGGAAACTGAGGCTCATAGAATCACCCAGGTCCCGCTGCTGTGTAGAGGGCAAAGCTGGTGTGCTTTCCCCATGCCAGAGGCCTTAAGGATCTGGAGCCAACTCACTTGCTAGTGATTTAAACCTTGTGCAACCAAACTCATGGCACCATACTTAATGCAATAATTCAAGAAATATTCATTGAGTATCTACTGTAGGCTAGGGATACAATGAGCAAAACAGAATCCTTCTCTATCCTCAGGGAACTTAGGTGTAGCTGGGGAGAGTTCCACCAGCAACAACGTGCGGTGAGTTCGGTGAATCAGAGAGAAAGCACCATGTTACGGAAGCTGCTGGCAGGAGGCTCCGATCATATCTATGGGACAGAGAAGCCTTCCTGGAGGAAGCAAGGTTTGAGCTGAAACCTGAAGGATAGAAGATAAATAGATGAAGGAGGGGGAAGAGTGCACAGGCCAGGAGGAAGCCTGCACAAAGGCGTGGCTGACATGTAAGAGAGATTGGTGGCTGAGGAACTGGATTGATTTAGGAGGCATCATCAGTCGATAAGGCTAAGGAACTGATTCAGTTGTGGGGCTCATGGAGAGACAGGAGTTGGGAATCTGCACTCCCCGCCCCAACCCCAGTTCCTGGCATGGTCACCTGTAGGGTGGCAGTGCATTTACTGAGACAGGGGGTGCTGTGGAGGAGCCTAACGGTGGAAGTGAGGTTGGGAGAAGATAATGAACGATTATCTTATCTATGGTGATGAAAATGAGCCCTAAAAGGCAGTTCAGCTGACCCAACTTTGTTATGATCTCAGGGTCGAGAACTGAATTAAAACCCCAATGTAGACATGGTGTTAATTATTTCACTGAGGCCACCGATTAAGGCTGTAAACACTGAGTTTGTTTCTACCCTACTGAGAAATCGAAAGGACAGAGTGAAGCTTCAACATGATCGTCACCAACTGGAACAATCAGGCTAAACATGATGAAATGTAACAGGGATAAATTTAAATTACACTCCTTAGGTTCGCAAAATCAGTTGTTTCTGTAAAGGATGAAAAACCTGACTTAACAGCAGCTCATGTCAACAGAACCTAATAGAGTCAGTTGGCTATGAATTCCACACAAGCTGACGTGGTGCTGTGGCTGCCCCTTTGTAAGGAACATGGCTGTGCTGCAGCCAAGCAAGGATAGGCCAAGGTAAACATCCTGCGTGACTCAGTCAATTTGTAGTGCAGGAGCATAGCTCCACTTGTTGTATAATCACAGCCATGTAGCCATAATATGGGAAGGCTCATAACTTGGCTTGGAGCCACTATCGTCTGTAAAAGGTGTAATTGCCCTGCTGACACTGTACAGGCATGCTCGTGCCCAGAGAAAGACAGAGAAAGCCAGAGCTGTCCGTTTTGTAAATGGACGAGGGGGAGCCAGGACACAGCTTGGCTCGCTTGTGCCCATAGGGCAAGAGTTAAGCTGTTTACCCTGAAGGGACTGCTGGTTGTGTAGCTGTATGTGGGAGCCGCTGCAGCAAGCAGCCGAGACAGAGACAGACAGTGTAAGAGAGCTGCTGAATAAAGTTACATTTCACCTACTTATGGCTCCCTAAGTGTTCCTCCTATCCATCTGCCATTCATCCACCAACTCCCTTCAGACCTCAGCATGAGCTGGAACCTGACCTTAAACTTAACAACCTTCTTCCACTTCTAATGCCCCCTTGATGTATGAGATGTTGGAGAGGAACCCATGAAACTTCTCTGATAAGGATAGAGAAGAACCTGTAAGAAAAGTGCAGCAGCCAAGGAGAGAGGCCAGCTCAAAGAGATGTCTGTAAGGAAGTCAGGGCTGGCTTATAGGCTCGAGTGTTGGGGAGCTGCATGCCGTGTGATTGGAGGGTGTCTCTAACAAAATACCTGAAAAAAAACAAACAGAGGCAAGGGGCATAATTCTGAGCTAACCAGGGGGCCTCAGAGAGAGGGATTTGTTAGGGCTAGGAGAAGAAGGAAGGATGCACCAAGGAAATGATAAAGGATGAAGCATTGCAGAAAAGCCGGTTGCTGTATTAATTCATGTCAGTCATGTGTTTGAGCTCTGATTTTGTGTATAGCCCTGTGCTGTGGGAAATGCTGTGAAACAACAGCCACAGAATCAACAGCGCTGACTGGTATGGCTCAGATGACCAGTGCTATTCAGAGGATGGTGAGGGGTCACCAGGGAAGAAGCCATGGAGGAGCTGCTTGAGCAGTCCCTTGATGGAAGGGGCTGGGGAAGATGTCACTGCAGGGCGTGAGCTGGGCAAGGTGAAGAAATCAGCTGACTGGAGTCTTCAGAAATGGGGTGGAATAGGTAAGGGAAAGCCCAGATCTGGGCGTGGTTTGTGGGCCAGGGAGGAGCTGAGATGGGTAGAAGCTGTGGAGGTGAGCTCTTCCCTGGGGAATACAGAGTTCATGGAAGGGTCTCCTGGCTCCTGGCTGGTGAAGCTGAATTGAATGATAACCCTGAACCTATAACTTTCCTTTTGATTGTTTTCTCTCATCATAGTGTGTGCCCTGTGTTGTTGACGACCCTTGTGTTGTGCTGATAATTCATCACAGAGGTGAGTGCCCAGAGAACAGTGAGGAGGGAAGCCCAGAGGCAAGGTTTTGCGGGGAGAAACCCCAGTGCTTTATTATGAGAAACCAAATGAATGAGATAGGGATGAGCAGGTGATATCTAAATTGTATACAGTCCCCTTCTTCCTTCTTTTCTTCCTTTCTTTCTTCCCTGGTATGGTTTGAATGCATCCCCCCAGAGTCATATGTTAGGTACTCCCCAAGGCAAGTGTTGTGAGGTGGGACCTAATGGGAGGTGTTTAGGTCATGAGGGCTCTACCCTCATGAATGGATTAATGCTGCCATATAAGGGGTTTCTGGGAGTGGGCTCTCTGTCTTGTCCTGCCTTCCATCATGTGAGGACACAACGTGCAAGGCACCATCGTGGAAGAACAGAATATCTTCATCAGACATCAAACCTGCTGATGCCTTGACCTCAGACTTCCCAGCCTTCAGAACTGTGAGCCAATAGATTTCTGTTTACAAATTACTTAGCCTGTGGTATTCTGTTATAGCAGCACAAAAAGAAGTCCCCCCCCGACATTCCTCACTCCCTCCAACCTTTATTGAGCAATTGCTGCATAACTGTATTGTGCTAAGGGATGGAGATACAAAGATGACTAGAACACAGTTCCTGCTCCCTAAGAGTTCTCAGTCGAGACACACAAGTAAGTAACACAGCTCTTTGATCTTAAAATGTACTGTCAATATAATAACAGATTTTCAGAAGAAAAAAAGTCAGAAACACTACCACAGTCAATGTCCACATTAGCAAAATATTCTGGTTTCAGAAACACTCAAGTGTGAAAAAACAGGTTTTAAAATTGAGCAGTATGAACAATCATTTTCACAATAGGAGTGGGCCCATTGACCTATCAGGACATGAAAATGTGGGGAAAAATGTGTCTTGGAATTGATAGTTACAGCGGTGTGATCATTGTCACAACGGGTGGGAACAAAACACCACTGGAACCCACTGGAGGAAGCCCTTAATGCCGTGTGGGAACACCAGACAAGGCTCCTGGCAGGAGATAGTGTTGGAAGGCTGCCTTCTAGGCTAACAGTGATGGTCAAGGGGAGGGTAAAGAGTCCAGAGGAGGTAGGGTTCCAGGCAGAGGGAGCAGCTTTTGCAGAGGAAGGAGACAGAGGTGGGTGTGATTGAGAGCAGCTCTTTGTTGTCTTTGTTTGTGATTGTTATCAGCAGTGGAGCAGAGGGGGGCTTCAGTCTGAAGGGGCCTGGACCAGTCTCATCACAAAGACAACAGGGAAGGAGACATGAACACTGCAGGGCAATTGAATGAAACATCTTCGCTGAACTTTCCCGTCTCTTGAAAAGTTTTTATGTATTCTTATGTTTACATAAGTCATAAACCAATTGCCTAATGCAAAAATGGTGTGTTCTTGAATAGTAAGAATAGGCAACAGATTTTAATCAATAGACTCAGAATTTTTCATTAAATCTGCTTGCTTATTTCCTTAAACCTTTTCTCCAGGGCAAATGCGCCCTTTAGAAGTGATTGATTGTGTTGCTCCCATTGGTATCCACACTCCTTAGGCTCTTTCTCTCTCTCTCTTTTCCTCTCTCTGCCTCTCTCTCTCATCTTCCCAGTTGTTGTCAAGCAGCTGCCCTCAGCTGAAACATCAGGCAGGCATCAAGGAGTATGTTTTTTGTTCAGATGCGTGCACATGTAAAGCTGTTTCTGAATTGCATCTTTGCAAAATAACCTTTGGGGATCGACATGATGAGGATGCCATTAGCAGGAATTTCATCTGCGTGGATCCCAGGAAGGGGAGAAAGCTACCATAGTGTGGAAAGAAAGCCTAATAAATAAACAGTCTGGAATGTCCTTCCCAGGAAGGCCTGTTGAAAGAGATGAACAGTACTGGATTAATTAATTTTCCTGGGTGGTGCCACTTTGTGTTTCTGGGGCAATACATGGTCTCTTGGGGCCAAGAAGCACCCCTCTGGTTCTGGTCTTTTCTGCATTTATTCAATAAATATCTCAACTCACCATGTGTCCAGGGGAGAGAATCTCCTGGCTGCTCCCTCTGCAGACCCTCCCTGAGTCCCGGGAGGGCCCCGAGTCATCAGAGCACAGAGAATCAGGGTGGGTCCAGGTTCTGATGGAAACTGCACGGGGTGGGAATCACGTCAGCCTCCTCCTGCTGCTACTGCCACTGGAGCCCCTTCACAGCATGTTTCCTCTTCTGTGAAATCAGCTTGTTTACTATGGTTGACCCTTGAATGACATGGGTTTGAACTGCACAGGTCCACTTTTACACAGATTTTGTTCAACAAACATATTGGGATTTTTTTAGGGGAGGGAAATGTACAGCAATTTGAAACAACTCACAGATGAGCCATGTGGCCTAGAAATGTCAAAAAAATTAAGAAAAGCTATGTCACGAATGCATAAAATATGTGTAGATACTAGTCTCTTTTATCATTTACTTCCATAAAATACCCCTAGACAGCAAGACCTCCTTTTCCTCCTCCTCTTCAGGCTACTCAACGTGAAGACTTGAGGATGGAGACCTTTATGATGATCCACTTCCACTTAATGAATAGTAAATGTGTTTTCTTCTCCTCATGATTTTCTTAACATTTTCTTTTTTCTAGCTTACTTTATTGTAAGAATACAGTATATGATACATATGCCATACAAAATATGTGTTGTTTATATTATCAGTAAGGCATCCAACCAATTGTAGGCTATCAGTTAAGTTTTAAGGGAGTTAAGTTTTGAGGGAGTCAAAAGTTATATGTGGATTTTCAACTGCGTGGAGGCAAGGGGTTGGCACTCCTGGCCCTTGTGTTGGTCCAGGGTCAACTGCAGTTGATCTCTAAGACTCTGTTTCAGTTCTGTGGCAGTGAAGATACCCATTGCTGAATGTTTAGGCCATGTGCCAGGCACTTTGCTAAGAGCTTTACATATATGATCTCATTTAATCTTCATGGCAACTGTGTGAGGTTCATGCTTTTATTATCCCATTTTACAGATGAGGAACTGAGGCTTAGAGATGTTATGAACTTAGCCCTGGGAAATACAACTGGGAAGTGGCAGAACTGGAATGAGTTCGTGTGTCTGATTCTGTTGCCCACACCTTTAATGCATTATCTTAGTGTGCTTGGGCTGCTATAATAAAACACCACAGGCTGGGTTTCTTAAACAACAGACATTTCTCACCGTTCTGGAGGTTGGGAGGTCCAAGATCAAGGTCCCAGCAGAATCTGATGAGGCCTCTCCTCCTGGTTTGTAGATGGGTGCCTTCTTGCTCTATCTTTGCATAAGGGGGAGTGAAGGTAGGGGAGCCAGTGGGAGAGAGAGAGAGTCTTTTACTCTTCTCATAAGGATACTAATCTCATGATGGGAGCTCCACCCTCAGGACTTCATCTGAACCTTTTGTTTTCTAGAGGCTGCACCTCTTAATGCCAACACAAAAAGGGGTTAGGACTTCAACATAAGAATTGTGGGAGGACACAGACATTTAATTCATCATATGCATTATGCAATATTGCTTCCTTCCACGATACAGAAAAAGTATGGGTGGGGAACACTGGGTCACCGTTAGAAGCACGGTAGGAGGCATACACCTCCCTCCCTCGAGAGGGAGTAGTCAAGGGCAGGCTGCTGTGTCTGTGAGCAGGACACAGGGAGCTGTGAAGAGGGCTTCTGTGCACTGCTTATGAAGCCAGATACACCTTGGGGACAAGCTACTCCCCAGGTGTATCTAGGATTGTTTGTGAAGATCCATCTGTTCATTTCACAGATATGTTTTGAACACCTACATTGTATTAGGGTCTGCGAATTCAATGGTGAAACAAAAAGATAGCATTGAATCCTTGGCAGGGCTTGATGGAGGGCTGTGAGAGTATTACTGAGGGACCAGTCTGGGGCTGGCAGAGAATGTGGTCGTTAAAGTTGTGTTTAAGGAAGTGATTTCTGAACTGACCTCTATAGGATCTGAATGATTTAACCAGACACAGGAGGGAAAGGCAGGAGGAGGGCCAGTGTGGCTGGAGCTGGAGGAGGGTATGGAGGGCCCGGTTCTCTAGGGTTTTGTCGGTAACTTAAGTAGTTTGCTATTGCACTTAGAACAAAGGTTTTCATCAGGATTTGAATCAGGAAAGCAATGTGAACAGATCTGCACTAAAACAAAGTCCCTCTGGCTGCTGTGTGGAAGAGGCTGTAGTGGGAGTTGGTGGGCTGATGCCTTAGACCAAACAGGAGCTGGCAGTAGCTGGGCTAGAGTTGGCAGAGGAGATGGAAAGAATAGGAAGGATCAGTGGGATATTTAGGAGGTAAAATCAGCAAGACATGGGGGGATGGATTGAATTAAGGGTTGCAGGAGACATAATCTACATAAACTGAGATGGGCAAGCACATTTGATATCCTGGTTTAGGAACCTGTGCTTTAGCGGTAATGCCCCTTCTTAATGCTTCCCAAGCTGTCTAGCTATATCAGTCCGGATGACTTCACCTGCATGGTAAGAAATCCCCCAACTCAATGGTTACAAATAATCAGAAATCATCTCACATAGCAGGAAGTCCATGAGTGGTAGCGCTTGCTCCAGTGGTAGAATCAGCTCTGTGATGTCACCAAGGACTCAGGCTCCCTCTCTCTCTTCACTCTGCTGATTGCCACTGGGGCCAGCTTCCCTGGTGGTGGCAAGGTGACCTTGGCATTTCCAGGCATCAGACACCCAGTCACAACCACATTCTTCTCAGGCTCATCTGGCTACACAGAGTCAAGCTGTGTGCTCTGCCAGGAAAATGGGATGACTGTGAAGGCATAGACTGATAAGAATTTCGCCATGGATTGCAAATGGGGTCATCTTCTCTGAAAAGTGGGCAAATGAACTAACCCAGGGTCCTGTTAGGGGAACTAGACATGGGGGCTCATTGGATTTGTCATGGTGCCCTGGACCAACACGTCTCAGATTTTGAATTTCTTAGATCAATAAACACAATACAAAGAGTGGGTGGGGGAACTGACATAGGATTGCTGACTTTTCACTTTCACCTAGTAAATATTAAAAAAAAAATACCATCTGCTGTCTCTATCATTTCATTAGAAGAACATCTTAAAAGCAAAGAAGAAAGAATCCTTGTGTTTCATAAGTTTAGCATTATAAACATTTACTCTTTTTAATTTCTTTTATCTGAAATTTGGGAACCAGTCTCTTGGGACCACTCTGAGCTATATATGGCAGAAGTTCTTAACTTGAGTCTGTAGATTGCCACCCTACTGCTAAGGGGTCTGTGGAATAGGAGCCAGAGGCTCCATGAACTTGGGTAGAGAAAAATTATAGCTTTTTTTTTTTTTTTTTTTTTTTACTATCTTCTATGTGAAATGTAGCATTTCCTTCAATTACAAATGTGGCAACAAACCAGTCATATTAGCTCTAACTGTGATTTTGTCATTAATAGAATCGCAAATGTTTTCGTATCACATTACAGTTGTTGTAGATATCTGGAAATGTCATTAACACCCACGACTATTTTGAAATCACAGAAGCTCTCAGACTGGCTGCTAGACAGCATGTGAGCTCAGAATTCCCCACAGACTCTCCTGCTCTACATCTGGCCACTTGTGGCAACTTGGTACCTCAACAGGGCAGTCATCAAGCAGCAGATCTGAGTGTTTTCCTGTAGGTGACCCAGACTTTCCAGCATCCCTTAACTGAATTGTTTGTGGATGAATTTGCAGAAGGAGTTGAATCGTTTTAATGGTTTGTGAAGTTTTGCAATCTGAACTGTTCTAACTTGAATTTTTAACTCTCCGTAGGCAGTGCCACCTTGGGTGGCACAGCTGAGTTGGGATAAGTCTGATTGCTGAGTGAACTGTCGGAGTGTGATATTTAAAGCAACTTCTTGTGATTGCTGACAGATTGCACGGTGATGCAGGTCGTGCACGGTGCGATAAGCTCTGGGAGAAGCAGAAGTCCTCTCTATTTTGTTTCTGGATTTACTCTGTATTTGTGCAATGTCTGTGATATGAAGTGCAGTCTTACATGCACACTATGTTACTCACATGTTGTTCTTGCACTATTATTTTGTGAAAATATCACATACCTAAAAAAAAAACCTTTGTGAGAAACACTGACAATATCAGAAATGAGAATCATTATTTCTAAAAAGTCATAGGAAATCACATGCAGCACTAGCTAAATTCCAGGTAGGATAGGACTCGTGATCAACTGTGGTAATCCCACATCTGTGCAGAGGTTAAAAGATACTAACAGTACTGAAACCTTGGGTAATCATAAAACCTGTCTTATTTTACTCACTGGTCATAAAATTTAACGAATATTTGACACTTAATTAATATACAAATGATTGCCTCCTATGTAGGTCTATCAAACAAATTACTTAGGAATCATAAAGAAAATATGATACTTCAAAGAATGTTAGTGGCATAAAACATTTTATTTTAGCTTTATTTATTATTTATTTTTTACAGACCCAATTTATCTTCAGGCTGGGAAAAGAAAAGGAAGGCCTGATGAAAAGTATGTATTTGGCTTTGTTTACATTAATGAAGTGATTGGACAGAAAAAGTTACAATGACTTTTTTCTTTTGTGAAAAAAATTATTGGGAATGGAATTTTGAAGTCAGGAAGACTGAAAGAGGACCCACCGTTGTCTATCTGGAAGATGTATCCAAAATGCCCAGGAGTTTTGTGTGCATGTGTATGAAGGAAGTTCAATTAGAAAAAGCTTGCAGCTTGGGCAATACAGCAAGATCTCGATTCTAAAAATTTTTTAAAAAATTAGCTGGGTGTGATGGTGTGGCACCTGTGGTCCCAGCTACTCAGGAGGCTGAGGTAGGAGGATCCCTTGAGACTGGGAGGTCAAGGCTGCAGGGAGAAATAATAGCGTCACTGTACTCTACCTCGACTCTACCTTGGGGGGCGGGGGGTGGGGAAGAAAAGAAAAAGAAAAAAAGTTCAGATACTTCAAAATGTGGATTTGGCATAAAAACCTTTTCTTGAAGCATTCTTGAAATTTCTTACCAGATGCCAAACAGAAAAAGCCTCACATTACTGGAGAAACTTTATCTAAAGCCACATACAGTGGGAATATGGAGTAGATTTGTGAATAGAAACAGAGGTAAAAACTGGAGGTGATTATTTAGTCAGATGAGGTGCTTCCATGAAGAATAATAGGCATGTCTTGAAGCAAGTTATGGAGGAAGTGACCGCCTCGCCATTACTCCCACAAGTCACTCTGTGAAACTACAGGTATCCTTCCAGGTAGCCACCTGCGTGTTTTGTGCATGATGCGCCTGCTGACTTCAACAAAGAAAGATTTTGTTTTGTGAGTGTCTTCGGAAACTACAAAGGCTGCTGATGTTTTGCAGATAGTATAAAGGTTTTTGTTCTGTTTTGCTTGTGTCAAACAAAAGTGACTCGACAGAAAAGGTTCATTTCCTAGCACAGACAGTGCTGTCGCAATGCGTGGCTGTGCGTCTGACTTCGCCACTTGAGTAAAACGGAGTACCTACGTTGTTCTCACTCACCGCATTTCATACAAACATATTCTGGCTCTTCAGTAAGTCCCAAGAGAAGTTTTGTCAACAGCCATAAAAGTCATCAACTTTTATCTAGTCTCTGAATCACAGCATTTTTGCAGGTTTTGTCAAGAAATGATGGCAAAAAATGAAGTGCTTCTCTTCCACAGAGAAGCTCACTATCTTTCAAGGGGAAAGATTCACTGTTTTCTAAAAGAAAAAGAAAATCCACTCCAGGAACATGTAGCAAAAAAAAAAAAAAATGTTTTCTGTGGGTTGGCTGACCCAGCGGATATTTTTAACCAACTGAATGAGATGAATCTTCCAGTTTGAGGCCCTGACACCACCATTATGAATGATCCTGAAATCTTTACCAGTTTTTTTGGCTCAGTTGCCAATATGAAAGGCGAGTTGAGGCTGACATCTTTGCCAACTTTTGCAATACTGGAGGAAGTGCTTTACCTCAATGAAGTTGACATACAAAATACTGTCAGTTTATATGAAAAGAGAAATCTACAAACACCTGGAAACACTGTAGAACTCCTTTAAAAATTATTTCTGTCTTGATGGTGTCAGAGTTGGACCATAGAATCACATTCTTTTTCTTGTTGATATAAACTGTCTCAAAGGTGTTCGCCTAGCCAAAGATGGCAAACATCGATCTTGGGACGGAAAACAGCTACAACTAGAGTTTAGCTAAAAAGTCTTGGAGAGTTTTGGTGCTCCTTGACGGAAACCTCTGTCTACTTTGCAAAGGAGCCATAAAAGCTTTAATTCCATTTTCAACAATATACATTTGGGGATTGGATTTTTAATCGTTACCATAAAAAATCAAAATCAATTGGCTGTCCAGCATGACAAGTGTATTATCTCATCAAAGACATCCCGCTGTCTCATGTTGTTATTCAAGCTAGGCAAAAACAGCCTTTATATGGGTATGTCTTTTAAAAAATAAAATTTTACTTTAATGTGTCTGTATTTCAAATGCAATGTCTGATTTTTTATTTTTATTTTTTTATTATTATTTTTTGAGACGGTGTCTCGCTCTGCTGCCCGGGCTGGAGTGCAGTGGCAGGATCTCGGCTCACTGCAAGCTCGCCTCCCGGGTTCACGCCATTCTTCTGCCTCAGCCTCCCGAGTAGCTGGGACTACAGGCGCCCGCCACCTCGCCTGGCTAGTTTTTTGTATTTTTTTAGTAGGCCAGGATGGTCTCGATCTCCTGACCTCGTGATCCGCCCGCCTCGGCCTCCCAAAGTGCTGGGATTACAGGCTTGAGCCACTGCACCCGGCCGATTTTTTAAAAAATGTGGTCCAAAGAAGCAAATCTATTCCTATGTAATATATATTTTAAACATACTGTTTTGGTAATAGTACTTCAGTATACACACTTGGTTTTCCTTGTAATCCTATGCCTTTATTTTATTCATCAAAAAACATTATTTTAAGAAAGGTCTGTAGGCTTCATCAGATTGCCCAAGGAATCCACTATATAAAGACAGTAAAGAACTGATGGCTCTGCACAGTTGCTCAGGCCTGTAATCCCAGCACTTTGGGAGGCCGAGGTGGGTGGATCACTTGAGGTCAGGAGTTTCAGACTAGCCTGGCCAACATGGCGAAACCCCGCCTCTACTAAAAATACAAAAATTAGCCAGTCGTGGTGGCATGTTCCTGTAGTCCCAGCTACTTGGGAGGCTGAGGCATGAAAATTGTGTGAACCCAGGAGGTGGAGGTTGCAGTGAGCCGAAATCGCGCCACTGCACTCCAGCGTGGGCAACAGAGTGAGACTCTGTCTCAAAAAAAACAAAAAAACAAAAAAACAAAAAAACTCTCCTGATATAAGAGGACATGATCACCTGCCACGCTCTCAAGTTGCATAACGTGCAAAAAGGCAGGTGTGTTGTGTATGATATGGTGCTTGAAGAAAGAGCAGCTTCCTTGACGAAAGGCCAGGCCAGCCATTTGGCTCCTGTGCTGCCAGGAAAATCCACTGGAGGTGGCAGTCTTTAATGTTCAACCTTATCATTCCCAAGACAATGGAAGAAGGGGCAGATACCAACCCAACATAGGAAGGCACCTCTTCTCTTTTTTTCCTGTAGTAGCTGATTCCAGAAAACTGGCCGCTTTCCATCATCAAGCCCCCGTTGCTGTAGTGAAATCTATTACTGATTTCTTCCTGTATTCAGGGAGTGATATAGGGCTACAGAGAAGGGAAACACAAGGTCTCTTCCCTTGAGGAGTAAACAATTTAGTGTTGGAGACAAAATTAATACATAAAACAATTAAGGGGAATTAAATGCAAGGCTAGAGGGTGTTTTAAGAAAATTCTGCCTGTTGACTTTTTCAACACAGTATCTTCAGGGTCTAGAATACTGCTTGGCATACAGTATGTGCCAGAAAAAAAAATCTTTGTTGAATAAATAAATTGATGATGGAAATGTTAAAATAACATCTATTGTTATGAGAATAAGACATTTGTCCCTCAGTAACCATGGGGAATTGATTCCAGGACCTCCCTTGGGTACCAAAGTCCAAGGATGCTCAAGTACCTAATATAAAATGGTGTAGTATTTATTTGCATATAACCTAAGCACATTTTCCCATATACTTTGTTTATTTATTTATTTGAGATGGAGTCTCGCTCTGCTCTGGATTGCAGTGGCATGATCTCGGCTCACTGCAACCTCTGCCTCCTGGATTCAAGCCATTCTCCTGCCTCAGCCTCCCATGTACCTGGGATTACAGGCGTGAGCCACCACATCCAGCTAATTTTGTATTTTTAGTAGGGATGGGGTTTCACCATGTTGGCCAGGCTGATCTTGAACTCCTGACCTCAAGTCATCCTCCTGCCTTGGCCTCCCAAAGTGCTGGGATTACAGGTGTGAGTCATTGCCCCTGGCCTTCCCATATACTTTAAATCATCTCTGGATGCTTACAATACCTAATACACTGTAAATCTTATGTAAATGATTATAATTTATATATTTTTTATTTTTTCCAAATATTTTGATCCTCAGTTGAATTCACAGATGCAGAACCTGCAGATATGAAGGGTCAGCTGTACATATTATTAGAGAAAATGTAAAAATACAAAAGACTATAAAGAAGAAGTAAAAAAGAAAGGCTAACCAGCCAACATTTTTGCTATATTGCTATATTTCTTCTTTGTTCTTTTTTCTAAATACATGCATAACACATACGCGCACACACACACACACACATACTTTCTTTAAAGAACAGAATTGAGACTTGAGTTTTATAGCCCGATTTTTTTCTCTTAAAATTATATTGTGAACATTTTGCTGTGCCATTAAATATTCTTCAGAACATTATTTTTAATGGCTGTATCATATAGTATTCTATAAATAAATCATGGTGTATGTAGCCTGATTTATTAACCACTTCCCTATTGTTGAACATTACTGTTGGGAACATTGTATAATACCAAGAGCAGCTTTTATTTGTTGCTTTGCTCTGTTCCAAGTATTTTGCTAAGCTTTTTCCCTTGACGCATAATCTCATTTAATTTTATTCTCATAGCAATCTAATGAGGTAGACTCCATTAGACCCATTTTACAGAGGGAAACATGAAGGTCTGAGGAGTAATGTGTCAAAGGCTGCAGTTCCAGAAAGAGGCAAATCTGGGATTCAAGTCCTGGTCCCATTTGATGTTAATGTCCAGGCATTCAAACGTGACCCTGGCCTGCCTCACCAGCGTGTATGAGGAAGGTTCATGCTTTCTCAGGCCATGAAAGAGACTGAGAAACACATATCAGAAAGGCAGGAGGAGACACTGAAGAGAGGAGTATGGAGGCAACAAAGGAGCGATCTTAAGAAGGAGGAAGTGCTTTTCTGTATTCAAAGTTGTGAAGACAGAAGGACAAGACCAATGTAAAAACCGATGAATCTTTTTCAAGACAGGCATTTCAGAAACATGATGGGGGTGAAATGCGTGTTCCCAGCTCAGTGCTCCTGACTTGGTGGTGGTGGAGTGACAAAACCATTCATTTATTTCTTCCCAATACTGGGAGTCATGGAACAGCCTTCATAAGGTGGCATCCAAGGAGCAGAATGTCCCTCCTGTTCCTGAGCATTTCCGCATCCCTCCATCAATGAGCAGTATCAGTAGCAGGAGCTCAGAGGCTTGTAATGGAAGGCAGGGACATCACCCTACAGGGACAGCAGAACTGCAGGGCGACCACAGGGACTGGCCGGGGACCAGGCTTAGGTGACCAGCTTTCTGGCTGTGCCTGGGACTGAGGGGTTTCCCTGGAAGTTTTAAAACTTCCAGTGT